ATAAAGTCTATGTGTTCTGTCAAATATGTACTGCAAAAAACGTTTAAAATCCAGTAGAATCCATAATATTGCAATTTGAAGTAACTGTGTGTGTGTATCAGCTAGACATAAAATGAGATTATTCTTTGTAAGCCTCAAAAATTCTGGAAATACAAAAATGAGAAAAGAAGCATTTCACTGTAAGACAATAATTTATCTTTTCTATTTTACAAACATATTAATCTTCTTTTTCAAAATGGTAATCATTCTTCTCTTAAAAGGAACATTTAGTGAATTTCCTATAATCTGACTTCATATAATAGAACTTATCTTTTTTCTAGCCACTTCCTCTGTAATTAAGCATAATGATAGCCAAAATTCCTAAAAGACAAATTTAACTTTTATTTTAAAATCATGTAGTGATAGAAGTGCTTATGAATCAAAATTATTTTAAACATTATTTGGTTAATGGAGGATCTTCTACAGAAAGATTAACAGGTAAAGATTACGTACCTTGTTTTTAAAATAAACTTCAATTGGCAAAATGAAACCAGCATACCCAGATTCTTCTACTTTGTAAGGTGGATCTTTGCACACTGCAACATTAAAAAAAGAATATAGGTGAGATAGGAATAATAGACAAAAATACATTCCTTTTTATTTAAAGAAAATAAATAACATCTCATTCTACCATCTAGATCACCCCCAATTTTCACTGTCCCTTGGGGATTCCTCAGCCCAGTCCCTAATCTATCATTCACTTCTCCAGAAACTGTAACAATATTTCCTATTTAAAGAAAATATTTAAGTTGTTTATTGAAATCTGAGTGGGGTAGAGTGCGAGTTCATCACAGTCAGCCATAATCATCAATGTCTTGACCTCTAGCTGTTATCACCTTGCCCTAAAGCTTTAGGAAAACTGAAGATAGCTCCTTATGACCCAGAGCTTAAGAACAACTCTGAGCTTAAGAACAACTCTAAGCTTCCGGAGAAAAGTGTCTAGCCTTTGGTGTAAATCACTCTACCTCTAAACCCCTCACATCTGTGAGAAGTCTTGATTTCTATTCCCACATTTTGCAGGGGGTACCTTCCTTCCTTAGACCATCGCAAACCCAGAATCTCCCAATAGTATCAATAGTATGGTTTTTATCTCACTAAAATGTCCACTAAGCCAAAATCAACCCCCCCCCCCACACACACACACAAACCCATTGCCACAGAGTTGATTTCTAACTCATAGTGACCCTATAGGACAGAGTAGAATTGCCCCATATGATTTCCAAGGCTGTAATCTTTAGGGAGGAAACCCTGGTAGCATAGTGGTTAAGAGCTATTGGCTGCTAACCAAAAGGTCAGCAGTTCGACTCCACCAGGCACTCCTTGGAAACGCGAGGGGGCAGTTCTACTCTGTCCTATAGGGTCGCTACGAGTCGGAATCAACTCGACAGCAATGGGTTTGGTTTTCTGGTTAATCTTTACGGAAGTAGACTACCACATATTTCTTCCACAGAGTGGCTGGTGGGTTCGAATCACCAACCTTTCGGTTAGCAGCCGAGCGCTTAACCACCGTACCACCAGGGCACCCAAATCAACTGAAATTACTCTAGCAAAGAACTGTATTTTGGTAGTACCACAGGAAGTAAAAATGTATATGCTGAGTACCAAGGAACATAACCCTGGTACCCCAAGTCCTCTTCAACAGGGCTCCAGAAGACCTTTCCATGCTTCCTCGCTTTGTTGCCTACCAAACCTGCTGTACTTCATTTAAATACATTGATTTCCCCCAAATATGCCAGCATTTCCCACCTGTGCCTTCTCCTCTTGTTATCCTAGCACATCCTGAAGCTGCTCTTGATATCCTTTGCTAGTTCAAATTCCAGCTTCTGCACAAAGCCTTTCCAGAACACAAGGTACTACCAACTCTTCTTTTACACTCTCAAAGCATTAACTGCCTGAATACTTGCTTGACACTCAACAGATTCCCTTATTACCATATATTCGGCATCTCAACTACTAATTTCCTTTCATTCCTTAAGGACAGAAACAGTGTTTACCTCAGGGAGGTAAAAAGAGTCAAAGGTTCAGGGTATGGTATCCTTTATACCTGGGTTCTAATCACTTATTCACCTCATACGAGGCAGGCTATCTCTGGAAAGTTACTTCACCTCTCTGAACCTCAGGCTCCTCTTCTGGACAATTGCTGAGGCTTAAGCAGGATGATGTATGCAAAAGACGAAGCACAGGATCTGGCGCACATTGAGTTCCCAATAAATGACTGAAGTGAGGCTGGAAATCTAACTATGAAGTACCCAATCATCTGTAACCTTTTCGGATAGTAACAAAAAAGGAAAAAGCAAGTAGAGAGCTCCAGATTTGTATCAGGAGATTCAGGTGCACAGTGCTTGACTAAGGACTCTCTAGATAGCCTCCATTTCCTTCCCCTTTAAACAGGAGGATAACGCCATCTATACATCTGTTAGCATGGCTGTCAGGATGCTAGAAGACTATGTGTAGCAAACTATAAATGCAAGGCATTTTTACTACAGATGATGATAATGTTCATGAAAATTGGTGAGACATTCCACTAATATAAATATGGTTACAAAGAGGTGTATGAAGACAGGATTTTAATGCTTGGCAGTCTCCTTTAGCCCATCTTAGGAAAACATCCCCAAACTGACATTAATAAGAAATAACTCAGGAAGGAGATATCTCACCTGACCTTACAAGTTTCTCTGTTAAAAATAAAACAGCAAAAGGACTCAATCCTGCACCCACTGACCACCTGCCATGAATATTCAAATACCCTGAACACTGGGGGACATGCCACTAAATGTACTGAGAGCCCCCAACCCCATCCCAGCCAGAAGGCTTATATTACACACAGAACATTCCAGGCTGCAGAGCTCCTTTTTAGAACAGCCGATTCAGTGTCCAGGTTGCTTGGATTAAACATGCCAATGTCATTTGAAGGAAGTTTATTCTGTGGGCTGTTGAACATGGCAGAGAAGTTATAGCTGTTCCTCTGTACACCCTTTCGTATATGTTGCGAACTGGGAGTCTGGTCAATATATGTGTTACATCCTGCAGCGGTTTTGAAGGGTTTGGAGGGGGGAGGGTCTTGTTTTGTTTTACAGTGCGCCTTTCATGGGGCACTTGTGTATACTGGCAAGTGACCTACGGTCATCCGTTTTCAGCCTGTGACCAGTTTATCTTCTTTATTGTGGCAGATGCCCTGATAGCTCCTACATGTCAAACTTGTGCCCACTATGTCAATGCCATTTGCAAATATGACCAAGACTCTCTTAGTAAACTAAAGGTTCATACACAGGTGTGTAGATCGAATTAGACATAGAGGAGACTAACAATGAGGTACACGAATAACACACAAATGTTTATTGCTCACAAGTTCACAATTAGAGAGGGGTACCAACGAGGGCCAATGGGAAGTTCACACAGAGGAATGAGCTCAACCAGCAGGTGGGGTGCAAGCCAGGGAGTAACCCAGAGGCTATACCTTCATTGGGGTTTAGAGTGTTGTTCGGTACATTTCCCACAAGTATGTAGGGTTGGTGGGTTTGAAGTATGCCCAGCTCAAATTTCTAGGGGTTCTGGGAAAACTGGGGCATAAGGTAAGGAACATCTAAGTTAAATAGCTAAATGAATGACTTATCTGTGTGGGGTAGAGGCAGAAGAGGAGCTGAAGAGAGAAACTAAGATGGAGACCGAGGCAACAAATTACGTAACCCACAAATTGGCTTTATAACAGTATAATTCATTTTCTCTATTCTGTATGCAAATTGCTCCTATTATAGGAAACAGCTGTTAGTGAGCACATCTTATACTTGAAGATCTTAGATTTTTTTCAACCCTCCAAAGGAAATGATCTGTAATGTATTAATATTCTAGAGAAAACTGGTTTTATAAGAAATTGTGTACCAACTCATACCTCAATTATTTTTAAATGCAATATTTTCATAAATAACAATGAACAATGTCTGTAAATCACCCTGAGTTCTTAATCAGAAGCATACTATAGAAACTCTGTATAGTCAATTAGCATGCCAGAAAAGCAGTAGCAACGTAAATACAAACTTATAGTTCTAATTTGAAAGAAAGTCAAATTATGGAAAGTTGTTTATTTTTTTATTTGGGTATTTTATGATAAGAATCATTAGCATGAGTTTCCAAACTAGTTCTAAAAAAAGAAATAGGAGTTAAAACTAAGAAACATTTTAGCCAATATGGAGAATACATAAGATATAAAGCAATTATTATTATTATTATTTTAAATGTAACATCATTCTCAATTTTATTCTAATTGTGCTTTGCCTCCTTTTGTATAACAGGCTCATTGTTAAAGGCAGGTTTCCCACTGAACTTCCTTTTTTAACATCCTATAAGGTATTGTGTCCAAGGGTATGCAATAGGTTTAATTGTTTTTGTTTGGTTTGGTTTTTTGAGCAATTATTTTTTAACTAGTAGAACCATAGTTGGGATCACCTTCTGTCACTCAGCAATATTTGTTCAGTATACTTGTACAGTTCCTGCCCTAGCGCGTCACAGTTAGGTGGTGCAACGGTTAAGTGCTCAGCTGCTAACCAAAAGGTTGGCAGTTTGAGTCCACCCAGCTGCTCCGAAGGAGGAAGACCTGGAGATATGTTCCGATAAAGACTACAACCTAGAAAACCTTATGGGGCAGTTCTACTTTTTCACATGGGGTCACTATGAGTGGAAAATCGACTGGATGGCACCTAACAACAGCAACAACAAGCATCTTATACCCTTCGACTCATCTTTCTTGTTCTTTTTGCCAATTGTCAATGCCTTCTGGCCCTCCTCCTGGTCCTCTCTGACAGGACGAGGCAGCTTCCATTTCAGAGGCCACTCCCAATCTAAAATTTTATTATTCTAAAGAGGAGTCATAGTGCTACTTCTAACTTAAAGGGAAATGCATTTTGTTTTTTAGTATCTTCATTTAAGCCTAAAACATCTAACAACTAAACATATCTGCTATTAACACAATCAGAAAATCGGGACAAGATAAAAAAAAACCCAAAAAACATGAACAACAAAAACAAAAACTGAGAATCATGCTTGAATTTTTTTAAAATGTATTTTGCTGAAAGCTTTTTTCTTAATTAGAGAAGAATTCTACTTTTATTAGACCATGAAATAAACAAATACTGAATTTCTTTAACAGATGCTGCCTCCATGAAAAAAAATTCTGTAAATTAGATTTTCATTTTCTTGTTTCCATTCTTACTATGAAGTCAGATTAAATCTACTCAGTAAGACCCTGTTTTACATGTATAAATCAAATCAGAAATCTGATTCCTCAGGAACTTGATATAATTTAGTTAAAGTGGCATATCAACTCAAGTATTAAGGAATGAGACAACAGAACATACTGACAGCATTTATGAGAAACACCATGCTTCTAAAAAGCTAGAATAAAAAATTAAATCAACTGTTCGCACATTAGGCAAAGTACATTATGTAAAAAGCTCTTGAGTGTTATGATTTTAGTATATATTGCACTTGTAACATCCTTGTTCTTAATCACACTGAAGCATATTACATTGCTTTTTAAATA